AGTTCATTTAGCCTGGATCTTAGGGGCCAGGGAGACCCCAGGGACCTCTGGCCTTGGGGGATTGTGTGTGTGCTTGTATGCAATAATGTCTCCATCCTTGGGAGTTGCCAGAGTGTCCAGTTCCCACAAATTCTCACAACAGCCCCAAGGTGGTTATGACGATCATCTTATGAGTAAACTAACCCTCAGCTGGCTGAGCCAGCTGTTGTGTGGCAGGATCATGATTCCAGTCCTGCTCCCGGGCAGTGTGCAGCAGGGGGCTGAGGCCGGCCCTAGGTGGCGCCTTCAGTCGCCAGGTCTGGCCGATAGAGAGGTGGTGAGGGAATGTCTGAGCGTCAGGCCACGTGTGGGTGCTGTCTTTAGAAGGAAGGTGGAGGCCACCCACTGGGCCACAGGGGCGATACCATCATGGGACTGGAGGAGACAGGGGTGGAGCAGAGTGTGCAGCAGGCCGTCTCCCGATGGAGGTGGCTGTGGGGGCAGCTGCCCTTCTTTGTCCTTGGCTGTGGGGAGTGGAGCGTGACTGCTGGTTGGAATCTTGCACGCCAGGGAGGGGCTGTTGCCCAGTGGGGAGGAACTAAGTGTGTCTGTGCCTTCCCAGCGTGCTGCTGGGGACCTCTGGATGTGTGTGCCCAGGCAGGGCTTGGCGTCCTCTGCAGGCACGCCATCCTCCCAGCTACTTGTCTGGGCCACTTCCTCTCAGGCCGGCAGCCAGGCTCCCGTGTGCTCTTTGGAGCTGAGCAGGGAGAAAGGCGCTGCCAAGACCTCAAGGCAAAGCTGGGAAGTGAAGAGCTGGCCTTGCACTCTCCCAGCCCTGGCCGGCACAGGAAGAGCACTGGAGGCCCAAGAGCTGCCTGGCTGCAGGGGGCGAGCCCAGAGATGAGGGGTGGGCAGCCTCCCCCTCAAGGGAGCAGGGATCAAGGAGGAGCTACCCCAGACAGCAGGCTGGCTGCTGGAGCCTCCAGTCTGCGCAACTCCTGGTTTCCTTCAGGAGAAAGAAAGAAATAGCCAATGATAAGCCAGAGGCACCCGCTAGTCAAAGAACCCATTTGGTTATGGCGTGGGCACCTAAAGAGCTAGTCATTCAACAGGCAATCATTAAGCAGTACACTGCACCTCGGCCTGCCTCAGCAGATGCTCATGAAACCAATGTTTGACGAGTTGATTGACTAACTAATGGGTACAGGGAGGCACAGGGGATAATGGAAGAACCTTTAGCCATGGCCTTGCTCACCCCGTCCCCTGAGAAGGGGAGCAACCTCCTTAAGAACGCTGAGCACAGGCATGGTGGCTCACGGAGGTCATCCCAGCTTCTCAGGAGGCTGAGGCAAGAGGATCGCTTGAGGCCAGGAGTTTGGGACAAGCCTGGGCAACGTAGTGAGACCCTGGCTCTAAAAGAAAGAAAGAATGCTGAGCAAACCCATACACATGGTGTCCCTTCATGCCTCCCTTCAGAACATCCTTCCTGAGCGCTCACTGTGTGCAGGCACTGCGCCTGCTGCAGGCTGAAAGAATCGTATGTTCTAGGGCGGAAGAGGAGTCGGAATACGTGAGCCCAGACAGCACAAATCCTCTCAGAGAGCAGGAAGTCCTCGCAGGGCAGGCGGTGGGACCACAGCGGGGACAGGGAAGGCCTCTCTGAGGAGGTGCCCTTTGGGCAACGACAGAACCTGCAGTGAGGGGCTAGTTGTGTGGATGTGGGAGCCGGGGCTCCCAGCAGAGGAAAAGGAGAAGGAGGCTGGAGTGGCGATGCCAGCCCTTGTCTGGGTTCTCTCGGAGTTGCCACTAGGGGAGGGCCTTGCCAGCTGTCCCTCTTTTAGCCAGGCCCGTCTCAGGCCTGTCTTCACGCAGGAGTATATGAGCCTGGATGTGGCCAGGTGGCAGTGATCAGGGGAGAACTGGTCCAATTTGGTTGTAGCCACCTGGGAAAAACAGGTTCAGGCCTCCTCATGGCCAGCTGAGCTCTTCTGAGCTCATGTGGGGTCAAGCTGTGCTAGTGCCATTCAGCCCAACAAGGGTCCCAGGCTGTGCTGTGTCCTCTGCACCCCTGCCCATCTCTGGAGGAGCTCAGCAAGGTGGGGAGTCCTTGAGCCTAGGGCATTCGGGACCCGCATTCCAACCTCCTTTTGATATCTTTTTGTTTGTTTGTTTTGTTTTTTTTTTACAGAGTTTTGCTCTGTCGCCCAGGCTGGAGTACAGTGGTGTGATCTGCAACCTCCACCTCCTGGGTTCAAGTGATTCTCCTGCCTCAGCCTCCCAAGTAGCTGTGATTACAGGTACGTGCCACCATGCCTGGCTAATTTTTGTATTTTTAGTAGAGATGGGGTTTCACCATGTTGGCCAGACTGGTCTCGAACTCCTGACCTCAAGTGATCTGCCTGTTTTGGCCTCCCAAAGTGTTGGGATTACAGGTGTGAGCCACTGCGCCCGGCCCCACTCTCCATATCTAGATTAGCTTCTCTCCAAACACAACAGACAGAGGGACTCTCCCTCCAGGGAATCTTGAGGTGCCAACAGAATCTGCAGGTAAGGGCCTGGATTTCCTGCTTCTAGAACCCCTCAACACTGTAGAAGGCAGGATGAAGGCAGACATGCCAGGGTCAAATCCAAGCTTTGCCACTTGCTTGCTCTGTAACCTTGGGTAAGTCATTGACTCTCCCTTGGTCTCTGTTTCCTCCTCTATGAAATGGGAACGATGATCCAGGCATCCCTCACTACCAGGTTCGTGGGAGGGCTGCAGGTAGCAGGTCCTTCCCTCTTTCTTCCGGAGAATTTGAGAAAAAGGCAAAATGCCAAGAGTCCAAAGGGCAGGCTGGCAGGCACTGGCTGCCTGTGGGGCCTCCCAGAAAGCACAAAGGGAAACAGAGCCAGTGAGGACTGGGGAGGCTGCCAGCAGCAATAGGTGAGCAGAGCAGCAGGTATGTATTCTGAATGTCCTTACTCCACACACTCTCACCCCGCCCCACTCCCTCTCCCTGCTTGTTTAGAGCCTGGGTTCCAGGCGGGCCAGGAGCTGGAATCAGCAGGTGGGATGTGCTGCTTGCCGAGTGGACACAGAAGGGAGGATGAAGTCAGGGCTGGACCTGGAACCACTATGGGAAGAGAGAGTGGAAGGCTGAGAGGGCCAGATGCCGGTTCTCCTGCCTTCCCCACCCTGACCCTCCAACCCTGAGTGCTTGGCATTGGGGTCACAGCCCTGGCACTGGTGGGTACCCCCAGCAGCTGCCTCAGAGGGGCAGGCAAGTCTATGTGCCTGTTGCCCTGAACTCTCCCAGACCCCACCATTTGCCCCAGCCTTGAGATAAAGGCCATCTTGTTCCCAGAAATAAGGCTGACATCGCCCATCAGACCCACCTGGCCGAGCCCTCAGTGCTGGTCCAGAATGAGGGGCACCTGGGCGCTGTCCACACGGGGAGGCAGCCGCTCGCCCGTGCGCACATTGAACATGGGCAGGGTGGAGAGTGGCCGGGGCACCTCGCGGTTGGCCGCCATCTGCCGCAGCTCCTCTGTGTTCCCGTGGATGGTGCAGTGGTGGACCATCTGGATGCTGGAGGCACAAGTTGGGAGTCGTCAGCTCTGGGAGTCAGCTGCCCTGGAGTGCAGCCTGGCACTGCCTCTGAGTCACCCTGCAGTCCTCCCCACCACTTACGTGGGGAGAGACTCAAACACATGGTGCAGGGGCAGAAAATAAACAGAAAGCTCTACAGGGCTGGGCGCGGTGGCTCACGCCTGTAATCCCAGCACTTTGGGAGGCTGAGGCAGGCAGATCACTTGAGGTCAGGAGTTTGAGATAACCATGGCCAACATGGTGAAACCCTGTTGCTACAAAAAATAAAAATAAAAAATAAGCCAGGCATGGTGGTGGGCACCTGTAATCCCAGCTACTCAGGAGGCTGAGACAGGAGAATCACTTGAACCTGGGAGGCGGAGGTTGCAGTGAGCCGAGATCACGCCACTGCACTCCAGCCTGGGTGAGAGAGACTCCATCTCAAGGAAAAAAAGGAAAGAGAAAGCTCTATGGTGCCTGTTCAGTGTCCAGTGGTCGAGACATGGGCTGTGGGTGTAGACAGCCTGGGTTCAAGGCTGTGTGTCTTGGGCAAGTTGCTTAACCACTTCATGCCTTAGTTTGCTCAACTGCCAAATGGAGATAATAGCACCTACCACCAGGCTGGGCGCAGTGGCTCATGCCTGTAATCCCAGCACTTTGGGAGGCTGAAGGAGATGGATCACCTGAGGCCAAGAGTTCAAGGCCAGCCTGACCAACATGGTGAAACTACATCTCTATTAAAAAAAAAAAAAAAAAAAACCTACCTCCTAGGACTGCTGTGAAGATTAAAAGAGAAAATGCAGCTTAGTGTTTAGAACAGGGCTCACCACGTGGTAAGCGCTCACAAGATACAGAGACATGAACAGACATCCACAGGGGCCATATTCTTCCAGAAGCCAGTATTTGCTGAGCTTTATATTGTTTATTTATATTATTTATTTATTTATTTTTAAGAGATGGGGTCTCACTTTGTTACCAACTTCAGTGCAGTGGCACAGTCATAGCTCACTGCAGCCTCCACCTCCTGGGCTCAAGCGATCCTCCTGCCTCAGCCTCCTGAGTAACTGGGACTATAAGTGCAAATCACCATGCTCGGCTAGTTTTTAAAAATATTTTTGGCCAGGCGCAGTGGCTCACGCCTGTAATCCCAGCACTTTGGGAGGCCGAGACGGGCAGATCACGAGGTCAGGAGATCAAGACCATCCTGGCTAACACGGTGAAACCCCATCTCTACTAAAAATACAAAAAAATTAGCCGGGCGTGGTGGTAGGCACCTGTAGTCCCAGCTACTCGGGAGGCTGAGGCAGGAGAATGGCATGAACCCGGGAAGCGGAGCTTGCAGTGAGCCGAGATCACGCCACTGCACTCCAGCCTGGGCAACAGAGTGAGACTCCGTCTCAAAAAAAAAAAGAAAAAATTTTTTTTGTAGAGACAGGTGTCTTACTCTGTTGTCCAGGCTGGTCTTGAACTCCTGGCCTCAAGAGACCCTCCTGCCTCTGCCTCCCAAAGTGCTGGGATTACAGGCATGAGCCACCACACCCAGCCAAGAATTGGTTTTCTTAGAGGAGCTGGGGTCCCAGGCAGGGATGAAGCAACCCCACTTGCCACTTGGTTACTGATGAGATGAGAGAGGAGAAGTGATCACCACCCATGTTCAGGTCCCAATTAGTGGACACAGACTCCAGTTAGAACCTGACAGTTTAGACCACAGAAAAGACCTAGCTTCACACCGAATGGGCCACGCTCCTCCTGCGGGGCGTGGGACCAAGTCCTGTCTGGCCAGCAGGAAGAGGTGGAGTCACCATCTAAGGCCAGGGGAGGGGCAAGATGAGCTCTTGAGTCTGGAATTTGGTGAGCTGAGTTATCCGAAACACAATTTTCTATTCCCAGGCAAGGGGAGACTGAGGGGAAAGACAGCAACCAGTGTGTGGATGCTGAGATGGAGACAGCTGGGCAGGTGAGGCCCTGGCAGAGGAAGGCCTCAGTCAGTGGGTCCCCTCCTTACTCCCAGTCCCACATCTGGGCCTCATTACTCTGGCAACACGCAGGTGGAAATATGTGCTGGGGATGTTTTTCTAGAGCAAGAGCAGAAGCCAGACCCCGCAGTGGCTTCCCCACGTTCCTTCCACATCAGCACTTGGGCAGACAGACAAACGGCAGGCATTCCTACACACTCAGGCACACACACACACACGCGGCCCGGGTCTCACCCACTCCCACTCCACCACCAACACACAGTCCCGAAAGCACTGCCTCTGGCACAGAAATCCCCAGGAGAGGGTCGTGGGACCTGGAGGACTCTGTGCAATCACTGAAATCTGATCTAGGTGAAAAGCAGACAGCAGAATCATAACTTGTGGATAATCTGAAAAGTGGCAGACATTGAACAAGTGAAAAACTGGATTTTGTAGAAATACATCAACACAAAATCCAAACCAGCCAAGGCTAATGTTGCACATGGTAAAATGGTTATTGATTTCAAATGGACGGAGGCAGCAGATTTTTCTGACAACATCAGAGCTACAGAGTTGACCCAGGGAAAGCTGGATGTGGAGGAAATACTGGTCACAAGAGAATATCCTCAGTGGCAGTAGATGTTAGTGATTACATTTGGCACAGTCCAAAAAAATTGGGGAATAAAATCTTCCCAGTGAAATGTACATGAAAAATCACTGATCCCCATGGGGAAAAAATTCTACAAAAATGAAAACAGAAAATAAAAGCAAAGCCTTTTAACTGCTTTGTATAGAAAGTTGCTTGAGGAATTAAGTCAACTCAGCATAGATCAAGGAATTACATCTCTGTTCACTCTGGAAAATATATTCCCTATAAAAAATTCATAAATGTTGGTATAGCCCTGATGCCTGCAAAGCTTGTATTCCTCAACCCAGTGGCTCAAAAACCCAGTAGGTCAAGATGGTGGGGTCAAAATGGTGAGTTTAAAACTGAGGGCCATGCCAGGTGCAGTAGCTTTAGTCCCAGCTACTCAGGAAGCTGAGATGGGAGGATCGCTGAGCCCAGGGAGTTCGAGGTTGCAGTGAGCTACGATCATGCCACTGCACTCCAGCTTGGGTGACAGAGTGAGACCCTCTCTTTTTTTTTTTTTTTTTTTTTGAGATGGGGTCTCGCTGTGTCTCCCAGACTGGAGTGCAGTGGCACGATCTCGGCTCACTGCAAGCTCCACCTCCCGGGTTCACGCCATTCTCCTGCCTCAGCCTCCCAAGCAGCTGGGACTACAGGCGCCCGCCACCACGCCCGGCTAATTTTTTGTATTTTTAGTAGAGACGGAGTTTCACCGTGTCAGCCAGGATGGTCTTGATCTCCTGACCTTGTGATCCACCCGCCTCGGCCTCCCAAAGTGTTGGGATTACAGGCGTGAGCCACCGCGCCCAGCCTCAGAGTGAGATCCTCTCTAAAAATTGGTTTAAAAATAGGCCAGGTGTGGTGGCTCACGCCTGTAATCCCAGCACTTAGGGAGACCAAGGTGGGTGGATCACGAGGTCAGGAGATCGAGACGAGACCATCCTGGCTAACACGGTGAAACCCCGTCTTTACTAAAAATACAAAAAATTAGCCAGGCATGGTGGCAGGTGCCTGTAGTCCCAGCTACTCGGGAGGCTGAGGCAGGAGAATGGCGTGAACCCAGGAGGCAGAGCTTGCAGTGAGCCGAGATCGCGCCACTTCACTCTAGCCTGGGCAAGAGAGTGAAACTCTGTTTCAAAAAATAATAATAATAATAATAAAATAAAACAAAATAAAATCAGCCCAGGCATGTGCACACACACATGCATATGCGCACGCACCGTGCAGGCCCACTGTTTGGCCCATAAGAGCAGCCTTCCTCCCCAGGACACCTGGCATGTTACATGCCTCCACCATCTGGCATCACTGGTCCACCCCTCCCTGGAGGAAACAATGAGGCTACTGTGACCCACACAGAATTCTGGTAGCCTCTGAGGTCACCACAGAGATAACCTCACCACCCCCTGCACCAGGAGCACAAGTCTGTGGAAGCCAGCCATGGGTGACCATCCTTGATCCTCTCTCTGGCCACCCAGGGAAAGGCGAGGGCTGGAGCCCAAGAGGAAGCCTCGGGGAGGACCAGGAACCAGGACGCACCTCAGCCATCATGCAAAGAGCAGCCCAGTGGAGACTGCCAGCTGCCCTGGAGGTCCTTGCACCCAAGATATTTCACCTACCCCAGGGAGAGAAGCCGAAAGGCACTTCGCCACTGTCCCTGTCAGTGCCCTTGACCTCAAATACTGCCTTGAGTGGAGGCCAGCAGGGCAGCGTGTCCCTAGCAAGAAAGCGACTGGGCAACGCACCTGTGCCAAAGCCTGCCAGAAGCCCAGCATATCCAAGGTGATCCTGAGGGCTGTGGCAGACAAGGGGACCTGCAAGTATGTGTCCATGGCCACCCTGAAGAAGGCTGTTTCCACCGCGGGCTACGACATGGCCCGAAATGCCTATCACTTCAAGCGTGTGCTCAAGGGGCTGGTGGACAAGGGCATGCTCAGCAGGTGACCGGCAGGGGGCCTCTGGCTCCTTCACCCTGGGCAAGAAGCAGGCCTCCAAGTCCAAGCTCAAGGTCAAGAGACAACAGCAGCAGAGGAGGCGCTCTGGGCAGTGCCTCTCTGGGCAGTGCCGCTCTGGGCAGTGCCCCTTTGGACAGCGCAGGTCACTACTGGGCTCCAAACAGGGGCACAAGTGACTTGTCAAGAGGGTTCAAAGGATCGCCAAGTGCCACTGCAATTAACGAGGCAGGCCGGGCAAGCAGTCAGGGGTGCCAAGCCCGCCATTGGCTCAGTGCAGTGAGAATAAAAGGAAGCTAACATTTCACATCTGCCTCCTGGAATCTGGGGTTCAGGGGAGTGGGAGAGGAAAAGGGCTGGGGGCACAGAGGAGGGGTAAGGCCATGAGTAGGAGAAACCAGGCCAAAATAAGAGAGGAAGGATTTGGGAAAGGCTGGCAGAGTTGGAAGCATTCATAGACACCAGCTAGTCCAACCGCGTGGTCTTGCAGGTGGAGCATCTGAAGCCAGAAAGAAGGGTCACGGAGTAATTGTGTGGCAGGGCCCGGCCTGGACCGCAGGTGTCTGACTCATACTGATACTGGAAGTCTCTTAAGTTGCTTCTCAAGCCCTTTCCCCCAGAGTGGCAGTAGCTCCCATTCCCCTGTGCCGCAACAGGCTCTTCTTTTTTGGGGAAAAGAGTCTCACTCTGTTGCCCAGGCTGGAGTGCAGTGGCACAATTACGGCTCACTGCAGCCTCAACCTCCCAGGCTCAAGCGATTCTCCTATCTCAGCCTCCCAAGTAGCTGGGACCACAGGCATGCTCCACCATGCCTGGCTAATTAAAAAAAAATTTTGTTGAGATGGGGTCTCACTGTGTTGCCCAGGCTGGCCTCAAACTCCTGGGCTCAACCAATCCTCCCACCTCAGCCTCCCAAAGTGCTGGGATTACAGGCATGAGCCACCACACCCAGCTCACTAGAAACTCTTCTATGGACACCAGCAGATAAGAAGGCAGAGTCAGGAAAGATCAGGCCCAGCATCCAGCCAGCCCGGGGCTAGGACTCAGAGGTCACCCCAGAATGATTTATTTTGTCTCTGCTGTTCATGGCATAGTTTGGGGGTGGGGGTCCAACAACTGTCTAGGTGGGCTCCCACCCCACCCCCTGCTTTCCTTTACTCACTCAGAGGTAGCCAGGTCTCTCTTCAGCCTGTGGGAAAGTGAAGGAGAGGGTTAGCCCAGCTCTGGGCTTCACCCCAAGGTGCCCCAGGGCTCCAGTGTGTGTGGAGGTCAGTGTGCGATTATCCACAATGCCCTCCTGGTGCCAGACCAGGCAGGTCTCAAGCCCTAAGTTGCCTACAAAGGGGCCCCACACTCCTTTTGTGCCTGAGAACCCCATTCCCAGGGCGTCTGGGTCCCACACAGCACAGGTGCCACCAGGAGTCCCATGGGTGTGAGCTCCAGCAGGTACTGCCCTGCCCTTCATGCCCACACTCACCTTCCCTCCCGCCGGCAGCACATGACGTAGGCCAGCAGCAAGGTGAGAAGCAGGGCCACCAGCAGGGGCACCAGGAGGGTGACCAGAGCATCCACCAAGAAGTCACGGTCTGGGGCCTCAGTGGGTGGGCAGAAGAACGGGTCATGCTCCAGGATCCCATCGCCTGGGGTGGGCATCTCATCTGCAGGCTCCGGGACTGACTTATCCACCTGCACAGAGAGCTCAGGGCTGATGCAGGAAGTGGCTGGCTGGACACAGAGGTCCCCAGAAACAGGGCAGGGGCCAGGACTAGGGGGCAGGAGACACAAAGTCCAGCAGAGGCAGGACAGTGCACTGGTTAATGCACAGCTCTAGGGTCTGACCTCCTGGTTTGAATCGAGACTCAGACAAGTGCTTAGCTAGGATGATTATGTGCCTCTGTTTCGTCACCTCTAAAGTCAGAAGGATAATAGTAGCACCTGTCTCCTGGAGTGGTGGTGAGCATAAAATATGTTGATGGGACAGTGCCCAGCACATAGCAAGGGCTCAAGAATGTTGTCAATTACCAGTCACTGGCTGTGGACCCTGAATGAGTCCCTGCTCTGTTGGTCAATTCACAGGAACAGAGTACACCAGCAGTGGGATCCTGTGAACCTCAGCTCAGTATCCAAAAAGCTGTTGTGAGCATCTTTGGTTTATAGTGTGAAGAGTTCTCAGATCCTTGTTGTAAGTGGGTTTGCTAGGTAGAACCTTAGAGAAAATCAGACAGAGCTGTCACGCAGAGGCCCTTGGTAGGGAAAGGGTTTGGGAACCAGACTATGACATAGCTGTTGGCCTGGGCGGATCTGGAGCGCGGGAGTTGGAGACCCCACATGTGGATTGCGGACTCTGTCGCCCTCTTGTGGGAGTAAGGTAGAACTTCAGGCGGTGTGTGTGTGTGTGTGTGTGTGTGTGTGTGTGTGTGTGTGTGTATCATCAGACTAAGCCTGTGGGCAATACTGAGAGCATCAGAGAAAGAAATGGGGACTGGAGCAATCAGAGAGACGGAGGTAGGAAGAGGCATGGGAGGGAAGGGGGACGGTGATGGGGGACCATGCCCCAACCCACGCCTGGACCCAGGATCCCTCCTCACCAGGGTCACATTGCACCAGTCAATGCGGAAGTGGGGAGCCAAGGTGTCGTAGCAAGACAGAAGTGGAGGCTGGCCCTGGGCACAGCGGGCGTGGCTATCGGGGGATGCCACCATCTTCAGGCAAGTAGAGAAAGGTGAGGCAGAACCCACCTTAATGTACACCCTGGGACCAGATAGAAGTCACTGTCAGCAGAGTGGGGGCAGGGGGCACCAGGCACCACTCTCCAGGGGTTGTTGAAACCGTCCTGATTGTAGGCTATGACCTGGGGATGGGATGGGGGAGACGGCTAGGAGGGAGGATTAAGGGAGGAACATGGCACAGCTGGGGTCTGGCAGGAGTCACAGTCCTCCCAGAGATCTGAGGTCATGGTGAGAGTACCCAGAGCAACCCATTCTTCTAGGGGGCCTTACCCTCCCCACTAAGGAATGTCTTTTAATGGATGGATCTGGTATGTCCTCATGAGGCACCGGGAAGTACAGAGTTCAAGGTAACTAGGGTCTGGGCTCTGGAAGGACAAGGAGATGGGGGGGTAGCCAGAGGGGAGTGGAGAGTGGTGTGACGCTGGGAGGTGGAGATGTGCATGGTAAAGCCCCACCTGGAAATTAGGGGGACCCTTGTTCTATGCCCGCCACAAGCAGCAGCATCCTCTTTCAGGAAGTCCTCTAGGGTTGCACACCTACCCTTCTTTTCGGCCCTCAATGGGAAGGGGGACACGGCCCCCACGGTCCAAGGCAGAAGTGATGTTGAGCAGCTGAAGCTCTCCCGGCTCCCAGAGTCCCCCCAAGGCTGAGAGGAAGCGGCTGGCAGGGGCTGAGGGCAGCACCTCCTCCACATCATGGCTGCGCACCAGGAACTCAGCTTGGTACGGCAGCAGGGGGCCTGGGAAGGCCAGGTGGACACCTCAGGCTGCACCCAGATCCAGCTCTGCCCCGCGAAGTCTCCCCGAAGCTCCTCCTCACATCCCCGCACACCCCTTCAGGCCCCTCAGTGTCCCATCCATCACAGACCCCAACGAGCCAAGGCCCCGTAGTCTCTGCAACGCAACCAGTAACAGAACTCCAGAGCCTGGAACCCCAGCCCAGCATCCATTCTCTAAGGCCTTGTCCCCACTTTCCAGGATGCCCTGCTCCACTCCTCTCCAAGCCTCTCCCGTCCACAGCCCCCTCCCTTTCCAGGGGAGGTCCCCCAAGACTGGCATTGGTGAGGAAAGGATGGGGCACAGCTAGAGGTACCTTCCGAGTCCCCAATCTCCAGCACCAGCCTCTGCTGAGTGGTATCAAAGCTGTCCCGATTGTAGGCTGTGACCTGGGGGATGGGATAGACACCTGAGAGGTGGATTAGGGGAGAAACGTGGCACAGTGGGGGCCTGGCAGGAGAGGACTCAGATACCAAATTAGAGGTATGTAAATTATATGTAAATGACTGTGAAGGAACACCCAATCCGACTGGTAGGGCTGCTCCTAGGAGGCCACGCTGGCCCACCCCTGTGATTTTCTCAGGGTCCCTGACGGCACCTCAATGACCTGGCGCCCACGATCTTCTGGAGTGGCAGAGCCGTAGAGGAAGCCAGGGTGGTGCGGGCTGCGCTGGGTGTAGCGGAGCCACCGGGGCAGGTCTGGGTGTCCCTGGAGGTGGGCATGGTAGGTGATGTGGACAGCCGGTGGGACAGCTGGTGGAAGCAAGGAGAGGGGATTAGAGTCACAGCAGGAGCCCTCCGGGGTCCACCCCAGCCCTCCCACCTGGGTGCCTGTCAGGCCGCTCACCGACGTGCTCAGGAAGGCTCAGAAAGGTCTCATGGTCCAAGGTGTGCACAAAGACACGGCCCACAAGTGGGTATAGCGTGGTCTGCTGGGCCTCGCAGTCCCCCAGTCCTGCCAGGAGAACTGTGGGGACCCCACAAGTCCCAAACACACAGGCCAGCCTCAGTCCTGGGCAGGGGATAAGATCCCTTCCCCACCAAGTCCTTGGAGCCCCTAAGGGACCAAGAGAAGCGCTTCCTTTGCTGCCTCCCAGGAAGGGATTGGGGTGGGGGTGAGGGAGCAGGCCCTGCTGGGTTAGACATTTTAAATGTCTGGGTTGTGGGATTCGTGGGAGAGCCTCTCCCACAACCTTCCATTCCTTGTTTCAGGCCCCTATTAATGGTGCAGTGGGCAGGGACTGATGTTTGGGAAGTGTGTGTGTGAGGGTGTGTGTGTATGTGAGGGTGTGTGTGTGTGTGAGGGTGTGTGTGAGAGGGTGGGTATGTGTGAGGGGGTGTGTGGGGGTGTGTGTGTATGAGGGTCTGTGTGAGTGTGTGGGTGTGTGTGAGGGTGTGTGGGTAAGAGTGAGAGTTGTATGTGTGAGGGTGTGTGTGTGACGGTGCATGTGTGAGGGTATGTGGGTGTGCATGGGTTGTGTGATGGTGTATGAAGGTATGTGTGTGTCAGGGTGTGTGTGAGGGTGTGTTTGGGGGTGTGTATGTGAGGGTGTGTGAGGGTGTGTGTGAGGGTTTGTGTGAGTGAGGGTGTGTGTGGGTGTGTGTGAGGGTGTGTGAAGGTGTGTGGGTGTGTGTGAGGGAGGGCATGTGTGAGGGTGTGTGTGTGAGGGTGTGTGAGGGTGTGTGTGAGGGTGTGTGAAGGTTGTGTGTGAGGGAGTGTGAGGGTGTGTGTATGTGAGGGTGTGTGAAGGTGTGTGTGAGGGTGTGTGAGGGTGTGTGAAGGTGTGTGTGATCGTGTGTGA